AATTGATGGATACTGAGTCAAAAATCCTGGGATTAGATCTCAACTCTCAGACATAATACTATTCATGTAATCTTTAGGATGATACTTAATGAGATTTTGTTTCTTCATCTGTGAAATGGAGATGGTATCACACCCTCCACCATCTCCATAGGACTGTTGTGGACATTTAGATCAGCGATCGCCAACCTTTTGGACCTCATGGACCACCAGTGGTCTGCAGACCACTGGTTGGCGACCACTGCTCCAAAGGTTTCCTTAAATCAGCAGTTGCTAACCTTTCGGAACTCACGGACCACCGGTTGGCAACCACTAATTTAGATGAAATAGTATATAAAATCTGCTGAGAAAATCATAATGTGCTATATATGATGTCATTTATTAAATTAATGCATCAAGGTTAGCAATTTTATCACAAAATTAGAAATTGAAAACTATACTAATAAAAGCCTAGGTGGTCATCATGCCCTCATGCCCTCACGATCCATCACCAGGGTGGGCGGTGCTTGACACTGCTTGCACTGCACGGGGACGCGGGGGCAGGACCCCCAGCTCCAGCCTACCTCTTTTGGGCAATCGATCATGAGGCTCCCACACTGTGAGAGGGCACAGGCCAGGCTGGGGAACACCCTTCCCTCCCCGCCAGTGCACGAATTTCGTGCACTGAGCCACTAGTTGTACATTAATTGCATCTTATACCTATTTTAATATTAAGCTTTAAATTATAGAGCTTAAGTATTGTTGCCCTTCAGTACTTATTCAGTAGTAAATATTCACATAGATACACGAGTGTGTATAAACATGTCCTAGGCAAGTTCCACTCTGAGAAGTCCTGAAGGCTTTTTTCAAACATTAATAGTACTAATGGGACTACTCATAGTTATATTTAAAAGCTCAACATAGAACCGAATTTAGATATAGTGTTCTTGTTTGAATTGCAGTTTGGTACAAGATAATCTGGGTGGAGAAGGGGGATGAATTAGAGACTCTGCCCTTGAAAACATAACCTAAGTCATTGAAACAAACAAAAAAACAACCATTGTGGTACAGTGTAGTAAGAGCAGTGATAGAAGTGTGCACAAGGTGCTATGGGACAGAGAGATTAAAAGAAACAGCTGCATTGGTGGAGTTGCGGTAGATTTGATTCCAGATACTTGGGGACCACTTCTGAGTCACCAAGGTCATTATCAAATATCTCTCAGTCCTTTCAGTGATATTTACTGCCTTCAAAAGGGAATTCTTTTAAAAATTCAGTGACTTCTACTCACAGAGAGATTCAATTATGCTGACTTTCAAATAATTTCACAGAAAATACACTCTTTGATCTCTATTATAATGCCATTTGGTTTCCTCCTTACGCTTTTATCATCAATTACAAGCACTAATCTTTAATTTAAAATCCCTTTTAAGCAATTGAGGACTTTAAAATAGAAGAGAAATTGTTATCAATTAAAGGGCCAAAATTAGAGAAGCCAAAATGAACAGAGGACGCACTAAAAAAAAAAAAAAGCCTGAGAAAGAACAAATGTATTGCTCAATATTACTCAATGTCTTTCTTTTGATAGATATCAGTCCTACATCGATATCTTGTACAAATGAAGCCTTCTGATTTATTGAAGAAAATGGTCTTGAAGAAAAGAGCTGAACAACCAAATGGCATCATTGATGACAGTCTTCATTTGGAACTTGAAAAGCAGGTATCTGAAGATAGATCATCTCAGAAAGAGTACATATGAGCATGACTGATGCCACCTTCCTAACCATAGGCTGATACAGCATCGGCATTTAGAGAGTACTATAAAGTGAATGTTACTATCACAAAATTCTTCCGTAAACTTGGGAGTTGAGGTTGAGGTTAAAAAAGGATGGTTATTGGTAATTTAATACTGGGAATATTTTTTTATAGCCCTTTACTTGGGCAGTTGCGAGGTAAAATGAATGCACTAGCGTTAGAAATCAGAAAGCCTGGGTTAAATGCATGGCTTTTTCGTACTTATTGACTCAATTTACTTTAGCAAATCCTTAATCTTTCCTGGGCAGCTTTCCCAATGTGTAAACTGGAGTGATATCTATGCTAGCTAATTTCATGGGTGTTCATTTTATTCATTTCTCTAATAGGCATATTACCTGACCTACATTCTTCTTCATTTAGTTGGTGAAGTTAGTTGTTCCCATTCTTTTTCTTCTGGACAACGGGTAAGTAGTTTTAAATAGTTTTTGTTGTTTGTTTTTAATAAATGTCACTATTGATGGAATGAATGAATGAACATTCCTTTTTAATTATATTAAACTAATTGGGGTGACATTGGTTAATGAGATAAGTTTTTCCCAGCTGGTGTGGCTCAGAGGTTGAGCATCAACCAATGAACCAAGAGGTCACAGTTTTGATCCCCAGTCAGGGCACATGCCCAGGTTTTGGGCTCGATGCCCAGGTTTTGGGCTCGATCCCCAGTAGGGAGCGTGAAAGAGGCAGCCGGTACATGTTTCTCTCTCATTGATGTTCCTATCTCTCCCTCTCCCTCTTCAAATCAATAAAAACATTTTTTAAAAAGATTATATAAGTTTTAAGTATACAGTTCTATAATACATCATCTATATATTGCATTGTGTGTTCACCACCCAAAGTCAGATCTTCTGTCACCACATATTTGAACCCCTTTAACCTTCTTCTACCTCACTCCACCTCCATTCTCCTCTGGTAACCACCATACTGTTGTCTGTGTCTATGAGTTTTTTGTTTGTTTTGTCCATTTGTTGCTTTCTGTTTTATATCTCCATGAGTGAAATTATGTGGTTCTTATATTTTTCTGTGTGACTTATTTTGCTTGGCATGATTCTCTCAAGATCCATCCATGTTATCCCAAATGGCAGTATTTCATCTTTTCTTATGGCTGAGTAATATTCCATTGTATATGTGTAACACATCTTCTTTATCCAATCATCCATCGAAGGACACTTAGGTTGTTCCCATGTCTTGGCCACCATGTGAACATAGGAGTTCATATATCTTTACAAATAAGTGTTTTCAGATTTTTGGGGTAGATATCGAAAAAAGTGATTGCTCAGTCATATAATAGTTCTATTCTAATTTAGGGGGAAACCTCCCTACTGTTTTCCATGTACCAATTTATGAAAATTCTTTTGTAGGAGAAAATTTAATAAAAGTTAACCTTGGATTTGCTGTATAACAGTTATTTTAAACCTTTTTTATCTCATGGCACATATAAACTAATTAATAAAATTCTGCGTCACACCAAATATATATATTTTTGCCAGCCTAACCAAACAAATAGGTACAATTTTGATTCATTCATGGCTATTATTGTGTTGAATATCATCACTTTTTTTATTTGATACTCTAAGGGAAAAACGGTCAGTGCTCCTAACTAAATAGTCAGGTATTGCATGTTTTAAAAATTCTTATGGTAGCCCTAACTGGTTTGGCTCAGTGGATAGAGCGTCAGCCTGCGGACTCAAGGGTCCCAGGTTCGATTCCAGTCAAGGGCATGTACCTTGGTTGCAGGCACATCCCCAGTAGGGAGTGTGCAGGAGGCAGCTGATTGATGTTTCTCTCTCATCAATGTTTCTAACTCTCTATCACTCTCCCTTCCTCTCTGTAAAAAAATCAATAAAAAAATAAAAATAATCATTCTCCCCTTTAAAAAAAAATTCTTATGGTACACTGGTTGAAAAAGCGCTGCTTTAAGATATAAGCACTTCTGTCTAAAAACTATATAATTTCAAAACCTTTATTGAATATTATATTTTTGTGATTACACACAGTACTAACATGGATATGCTTATTCATATATCTCTACCAACCTATGCAAGCATTTTTGTAGAGTAAATTCGTAGAATTGCTAGATCAAAGGTTATAAATTTTTCAAATTTTAATTATTTAAAATAGCTATTATCACATTTCCCTCCTAAAAAAGTAACCATTTAGCCCTGGCTGGTATGGCCCAGTTGGTTGGGCTTTATCCCATGCACCAAAAGGTTGCCAGTTCAGTTCCTAGTCAGCGCACATGCAGGGATTTGGGGCTCCATCCCCAGTGGGGGGCGTGTAGGAGGCTGTCGATTGATATCTTGCTCTCACATCAATGTTTCCCTCTCCCCTTCTCTTTAAAAGTCAATTTAAAAAATTTTTTAAATACATTTTTATTGATTTCAGAGAGGAAAGGAGAAAGAGAGGGAGATAGAAATATCAGTGATGAGAGAGAGTCATCAATTGGCTGCCTCGTGCATGCCCCCACTGGGGATCGAGCCTGCAACCCCTGCATGTGCCCCGACCAGGAATTGAACCTCAACCTCCTGGTTCACAGGTCGACTCTCAACCACTGAGCCATGCCAGCCAGGCAAAAACAAAAATCTTTTTTAAAGTATCTATTTACATTCTTACCTTAGTATATTCAACTTAAGTATATGTATGAGAGTGACTGTTCTGGACTATATACTTCTAAAACTTGAAAGACATTTTTCTTTTTTGCTCAATCCTTCTCCCTGTCTCCCCCCCATTCGCCACAACACCCTTGCCCACCAGAGCACCCCTGCCTGCTCTCTATGAGTCTGTCTTTATTTTGCTTAGTAGTTTAGTTTGTTTATTAATTTCCACATATGAGAGAAATCATACAGTATTTGTCTTTCTCTGACTGGCTTATTTCACTTAACATAATGTTCTCTAGGTCCATCCATGCTGTCCCGAAGGGTAAAAATTTTCTTCCGTTTTATGGTCCAGTAGTATGGTACGTTGTATAAATGTACCATAGCTGTTTTATCCACTCATCTACTGATGGACACTTGGGCTGCTTCCAAATCTTGGCTATTGTAAAGAATGCTGCAATGAGCCCTAGCTGGTTCGGCTCAGTGGATAGAGCGTCGGCTTGCGGACTGAAGGGTCCTGGGTTCGATTCCGGTCAAGGGCACATGCCCAGATTATGGGCTCGGTCCCCAGTAGGGGGCATGCAGGAGACAGCCAGTCAATGATTCCCTCTAATCATTAATGTTTCTATCTCTCTCTCCCTCTCCCTCTCTAAAGTCAATAAAAATATATTTAAAAAAAAAAAGAATGTTGCAATGATCATAGGGGTGCATATATTTTTTTGAATTAGTGTTTCTGGTTTTTTCAGATAAATTCCCAGAAGTTGAATCACTGGGTGATAGGCAGATTCACTTTTAATTTTTGAGGTAATTCCATACTGCTTTCCACAGTGGCTTCACCAATCTTTATTCCCACCAACAGTGCACAAGGGTTCCCTTTTCCACATCCTCACCAACACTTGTTTATTGCTTTAGTCATGAAAGCCATTCTGACAGGTGTGAGGTGATATCTAATTGTGGTAAGACACTTAATTTTTCAAGAAACTACTATTAAAATAGTTTATAGAGAAAAATATGTTAGCTGTTACTTGAATATTTTATGAAAAAAATGTGTTAAAGGAAGGACTTTTAACACATTACATCACAATCTGGGCTCTGGAATTAATTTCCATTAATGTGCTTCAATTCGTAGCAAAAAACAACTTTTATTTTTGTGTATATCTTTTTTTTAATATATTTTTATTGATTTCAGAGAAGAAGGGAGAGGGAGAGAGAGAGAAACATCAGTGATGAAAGAGAATCATTGATCAGCTGCCATTTGCACACCCCACACTGGGGATGGAGCCTGCAACCCAGGCATGTGCCCTGACCAGGAATTGAACCATGACCTCCAGGTTCATAGGTCAGTGCTGAACTACTGAGCCACACTGGCCAGGCTATTATTGTGTATATCTTTTTACATTAACTAGCAGTAAACCATTGTGGCAGTTATTACTTCACTGATACAACTGCTATTGTGTTGGGTGGTTAAATCAGAGATTGCTAACTGTGGAGAATGGTAAATTTTTAAACACTTTTGAATTTTAGTAATTTGTAATGCTTCAGAGTTGTTTTCATTCCTTGCATTTGTTTTGCACAGAAACACTTTGTGCACCTCTGTGGGGCTTTGGAAAAGCATGTTAAGTGTGATATTAGGGAAGATGCAAGACTGTTTTATAGAACTAAGGTAAGTGTGCATTTCATTTTTTCACATGTTTTTTTGTTTGTTAAACATTGGTTACATTAATATTTGAGGAAGAGAAATTTTACTATGCTTCCTATTCTAAAATTCCTGACAGATGAGGAAAATTCTTCTACTATTAATGAAACTTACATACAAGTTAAGACCTTTATGTTTAAGTAGACTTGAAGGATTAAAGCATTGTTTAAGTAAATATAAAAGTTTTAAAATGGTGGTTATAAAAGTTTGTTTTGTTCATAGAGAAGAAATAAGGTAGGTGTTATTCTTTGGATATTCCATCTGAGAATGTGTTAAAGGAAGAAGGACTCTTCAAATCTCTCAGTCCTACACATCAGCCAGTCTAAGCTCTAGGGTGGAAATGATTTAGCAGTAAGCTTGCTAAGCTTTTTCCTTAAAGGTTTAGTATATCCAAAGAGTAAAAAAGCTAAGTATATGAGTATAGAGTTAGGAAAACAACTTTAGTATTAATAAAATTATTTGGCAGTTTTTCCTGAAACACTAACTTAACACTTTTTAAAAAAACTTTTTCTTCTAAGAATATTTTTATTCCAAATCATCTTTTAGCTTTTATAATGCAAAACTGATTCCTTTTGCCCCTGTGTTTGAATAGTCATTGAATGTTGACTATCTGCTTTGTAACTATATCTTACATTAATTGGCTGTAAACGTTAGCTCATTTGGATTTAGTACCTGTATTTATTTTAGTAGATTTAAGTTAAATACAATAATAAGCAACTAAGAAAGCTGTATCAGATTGCAGGTTTTCAAATACATGTAGGGGATAGCTCTTTGGCCTAGAGTGGAAACTGTAGTTTCACAAGCACACATTCTTTTGAATACTAACTAGAGTTACTGGCCTGTAGAACTCAGTGGTAGTGGCTACTGCTGACAGACATGGTAAAAGGAGACCACCCAAGGTTTTTCTTTTTTAAAGCCAAGGGCAGGACATAAATTGGTGCCAGGGCTCCTCTTACTTAAAGTGGAGAATCATGTAGAGGTCTATGGAAATTGTTTAGGGGATGGCCCTGCTTAAATAGTTGAGTTGAAATAGTTGAGAGCCTCTCTCAACAAACCTCTAGGTGGTAATTGTTTTAGAGAAACTGAATCTACTGAACTCTAAATGGAGGGGGGGTGCGGGGGAGACCTTGCGCCCTGGCTGGTTTGGTTCAGTGGATAAGAGCGTTGGCCTGCAGACTGAAGGGTCCCGGGTTCAATTCCGGTCAAGGGCACATGCCCAGGTTGCGGGCTCGAGTGGGAGGAGTGCAGGAGGCAGCCAATCAGTGATTCTCGCCCCTCATTGATGTTTCTCTCTCTCCCTCTCCCTTCCTCTCTGAAATCAAAAGTATATTAAAAAAAAAAGATCTTGTAATTTACTTTATAAACTTAAAGTAGCTATAAAATTCCTGACTTGTTTAAAACATTTTTCTCAGGCTGTTATGTTCAAGACCTATTTGAGAATCTCTAGAGTGGTAGGAAAATTTAAGTTCTACATAAAAACTTGTTAAACCTCCAAATGTAGGACTGTACCACGTATTTAAAGAAGCTTCATGTTGAAAGGAACAAATGACAACCATTCTTTGTGGCCTTCAGACTTTCATATAGAAGCTGGTAACAGCCTAAGCCTAGGGCCCCAATAACAAAAGCTCCCCTTTAGCTTCTCTGAGTGTTCAAAAGCCAGCAAGTTGAAAATGTGTGTCTTGAAGATAGGGAATATGTTTTTGTGGATGATCTTTTGTATCTAATTGGAAAATGGAGTCCTAAGTGTTCACTATTTTAGATTATGGGGATGAGTCTTATTAATCACTGATTTTAAAGCACCTTCAGAAGATGAGTAGTTTATTTTTTTATTTCTTGACAAAAATCAAATTGAATTGTGTGTAGACCTGTCACAGTTATCAGATCTTTTGTATTAAGCCTTAAATTGATTTTAGGTGAGGATGTTTTAATCTGATCCTTTTCCCCTATTTGATATTTTTAAGGTAAAAGACTTGGTTGCCAGGATACATGGAAAATGGCAGGAAATTATCCAGAACTGTCGGCCAACTCAGGTGTCATTTTATTAAACAGTTTTATATATTCTCAATAGTTTTTTTAACTGGTATTTCTTCATATTGTTTGAAAAAATATGACAGCACTTCTATGTATCTTAAGATAAACTGAAAACTCCAATATAATAGTTTGGGGGTTTTTGTTTGCTTTATATTCATTAATTTATTTCAAGAAGTGTAAGTGCATCAAATGGAGGTTATATTTCACAAGAAGCACTTTTCTTAACAGCTTAATTGAGATAAAATTCACATATCATACATTTCAGACATTTAAAGTTTACAGTGGTTTTTAGTATATGTAGAGTTGTACAGCCATCACCACAAACTTACTTTAGAACATTTTTGTTACTAAAAAAGAAAATAAATCCCATATCCACTAGCAGTCACTCCCATTCCCCTACCACTATTCCCATTGCACCAAGCCCTAGACAACTACAGACTTTCTGTCTGTATAGCTTTGCCTGTTCTTTATATTTCATATAGATGAAATAATACACTATGGTATTTTATGACTGGCTTCTTTCACATAACATAATGTTAAGTGAATTCATGTTGTAGCATGTATGTTCTTCTATTGCCAAATAATATTCCACTGCATGGATATATCACATTTTATTTACCCACTTATTAGGTGGGCATTCGAGTTGTTTCTATTTTCTGGCTATCAAGAATAATGCTTTTCATGCATATTTGTGTACAGGTTTTTGTGTGAACATATCTTCTTAAGTGAAAACATCTTGGGCATAAACCCAGGAGTAGAATTGCTGGGTCATATGGTAATTCTGTTAAGTGTTTTGAGGAACTGCCAGACTTTTCCAAAGTGGCTGCACCATTTTACATTCCCACCAGTCTATTTGAGGTTTCTAATTTCTCCCCATTCTGTCAACACTTGTTACCTGTTTTTTACTAAAGTTTAATGGGGGGTGGGAAGTAGAATCTCACTGTGGTTTTAATTTGTGTTTCTCTAATGACTAATAAGCATTTTTCATGTGTTTATTAGCCATTCATATAGCTTCTTCGGAGAAATGTTCAATTTCTTTGCCCATTTTTTAATTGAGTTTTTATCTTTATTATTGAATTGTAAGAATGCTCTTTATACTCTTAAATACAAATCCCTTAGTAGGTATAATTTGCAAAAGTTTTCTCCCATTCTGTGTGTTGTCTTTTTATTGTCTTGATGGTATAGTTTGTAGAACAAAAGTTTTTAATTGTGACGAAGTCCAGTTTTATCTCTTTTTTCCTTTTATGTTTTTTTTCCTTTTGTCATGTTTTTGGTGTCATATCTAAGGAGACTTTATTTAAGAGAGGTATTGTTTAAATACCTGCTATTAAGTTTTCCATCATGCTTGTTTACAAACGAACTTCTCAAATTTTAATGTGCATAAGCATCAACAAGGAATTTGTTGAAATGCAGATTTTTATTCATTGTCTGAAGTTAGACCTCAGATATTCTGCATTTCTACCAGGTTCTCAGGTATTGCCAATGCTGCTGGTCCAGGGCCTAGGCGTTGCTTATATTTTTTATCAAAGTAACAGGAATACTAAATATTAATTAGGAAGCAATCTCACTATTTTATGACATTTTGACTCCCTTGTTGTTGACTCCCTTCATAAGATATGCAAGCCCTATTAGAGAAGTCTTTGAGAAATCTTAAGCTGTATTAATCTGCTCAACATTTTACTTAATTTTAAATATCACCCTCTAAATGTGTGTGTTGGTGAAGAGAAATCATCTTGTACTTACCTTATACTTTTTAATTGTTAGACCACAAAATATGAAACTTAAATCTGATTATCATAAATTTATAGAGAATTATATAATATAAAGATTTTATTTCTTTTGTTATTAAAACTTGATGATGATAATATGTGTTATAAAGATTAATTCATAATTTGGTTTTTCTTTATTCTGTTTTTTTCCCCTCTTCTATTTTCTAGGGGCAACTTCATGACTTCTGGGTTCCAGATTCTTAACAGGAGTTGCAACAGCAAATATATGAACCAAGAGAAATTCAATAAGAGCCTTTCCTAGAGGAGTATAAAGGGTTACTACAAAATCCAGCGGAATGCTAAGAAAATGGGCAGCAAGTGTGCCACTGGAATATCTAGTTTGAGGCTGGTAATAAAAGAAATTGCCATTTCTGAAGCAGATATGAAACACAATCTGCTTAATTAAGGCAATTGGCCTTTTAAAAGAGTAGAATCCTATAACAGGCGGGAAGAGTAGAAGCAGCTTATAGTTGCATGTCTTATCTGCCCCTATTAACTAACTCCTCTGTTAAATGATAAGCCAGTGGTGTTTTTTTTTGTTTGTTTGTTTGGGTTTGTTTTGTTTTTTATTGTATTTGTGGCACTTGGATAATCACATGAAATATGTAAGAAAAGATTTGGACCAATGTGAGAAGTTGTACATGGAAACCAAGACCAAGTTCTAGTTGGGTTTAATTTTCCCTTTTGGTTTTTTTAAAACTTAATGGAAAACTTTCAAATGAGTTTAGTAACAAAAAGGATAAATCACTTGTAACTCCTACAAACCATAGGAGGTTCCAATCCATGCATTTTCCTTCACTATTCAAGATTATAAATCTGTTAGGTTTTTTAAAATACATTTAAATGGTTGAGAAATAGAAGGTATATTGTCAGATCCCCTTAAGGGGCAAAGGTTAAGCTATAAAATAGTGGCTCTGTTTTCATGCCAAAACATTCATATGCAGGTTGTTTTAATTTCCAGTGCATTTTTTAAAATACCGGTTAAATCATAGAATCTTGGCTAAATCTTAGAATTCTTGCCCCTAGTAGCCATATTACAGAAGTGTCTGTATTGTAAAAGCTTAAATATCTGGACAAGTTTCCAAAACCTTATTTTCATGAGTATATAACCTTGGCAGAAACCTGAATGGTGTTTATTCTTTAGAACATTGCCACATGTGTTTGCACATACACGTGTGTTTGTGCTTGTATTTTAAAGTTGTTGCACTTAAAAACCACAGCTGCTCTAAATTCTTAAACACTGGAAAGCCACCCTTTGGTTTAAATGGTGGAGGGTTAGTGGAAATACATATGCTGGTCTTAGCCCAAGGGCCCTTTGAAGCCCTTGGTAGTAATAGACTCTTATTAGCTCTGAAAAATTCTTTTGTTGACTGAGTGTCCCTTTTAGGAGGGTTTCTTTCATAAAAGAAAATTCCAACTTCTTTTTTTCTTTCAGTATTAACTTGGCTGACATTGCTAGCTATCGTGAGCACTCTGAGGTCTCCAATTGTGGGGGGAAGATGATGGGAAAGGGAATTGGACTTGATGTTTGTAGTTTGATAGAGGAGAAAATAAATTTTGGAAAATTAGCTTTCTACCTCTGAATTGAGGCTTAGGAGTAAAAAACATTCTATCTTTAATTTATCATTTAAAATACTTTTGAGCCCATGTCAAGCATTGAGCAGTTAGAGATTTTCTAGGGAAGACTAAGTAAATTCAGTTCCTAAGAACCCTGTCAGACCAACAAAAGTTTTATTCTGTATTGAGTTTACTGGTAAGAATATTAACTTGATACTACCTCTTAAGGGTATTGTTAGAAAATGCCACTTATGGTTAATGAGATAGATACAAAGAGTTATATTTGACAGAAGCTTGAAACTCTGGCATCTATCTGCCCAACAGTGGGGGCTTTCACTCTGTAATTTAATACTTTGTAGATACATTATTTGTGTGTAATTTTATAAGTGTTCATATTTTTCTCATTTTGCATTGTGTAAAGTGTACAAAATCTCAAAAGTATAAAATACTGCTTATATTGCTTGTAATTACAGTGTGTAAATATTTTCTAATGTGTACATTGATGGGGGGGACAAGTGGGTTATTCAGGTGTGTTTTTTTTTAAGTGACCCTTTTATATTGCAGTTTCAACAGGTAACTGCCCATCAAATTTAAAACCACTTTGATACATTTTTATTTAGCAGTTCCAATAAGAAAAGTCTCTATTTTTAATTATCTTTCTCCATTAGAGAAATATGCTTCATGTGTCCCTTTAAAATAAATGGCCAAACATCGGTTTGGACTCTTGTACTTGTGACTCTGGTAGACGGCTTCAGTCTCCAGGTCATATTTCAGTCAGTATTTGCATTCAGGTTCTCATAAAAATTGTGTGATTCTCTTTTAGCACAAGTAGCCCATGGTTTTTCTCCCAAATCAAGTACTACCCTTCTCTCTCTTGAGTCCCCTTGCTTTGTCTCCCTCCTGCTGTTGTTGCCCACCCAGTGAATGGGATGGTAGTGGGGGAGAAAATGTTCATTGCACAGAGAATGTCAGGCCAGTTTTGGGACTTGGCAAACAAAGCTTGCACTGAGTGGTGGTGTGTTTGGCAGTATTATTACTGTGCCAAAAAATCACCTTGTCTAATTTTCTGGATATGTATGTCAAACTTCCTACCCTTATTGCAAGCTAAAATTTAAGGTATTTGTAAGTGTTTATGCTTTTGTGTGTAACTGTTTGCCTTTTCTAAACTGCTTTTCTTGTTATCTGAAAATACAATTCTATTCGTTATATCATGTTAAGTGAAGATGCTCTCCATGCACAAAATGCATCTATGTAGCAGTAAAGTAACAGCATTTGTACATTTTCTGTCTATCTCCTGACGGCAATGGTGCCTTTGTCACCTTTTAGAAGGTTGGCATTTTGTTTTTATTTTGAGATACAAGTAATAGCTTGCTTTTGACTTCACAAATATCTCCCCAGATGTAAAAGAGAGAAAATGGTGTGTTGTCATCCAGGCTCAGTTGGAACATTTGCATTTTTATTTCTGTCAAGCAAGTATAGTTGGTGGGGACTGGCCAGTAATAATGTGTCAAGTCTTTAAACCAAGAATAATTTTTACATTTTAAAATAAAAAGAGTTGATCCATTAACAAGTGACTGAGTTTGAAAATTAGGAAAGGACTGTCCTGATTCACCTCCACGGAGGCAAGATTAGGGTGCAGATGGGTGGGCATGAAGAGCATGATCTGTGGTTATTTATTACTTCTTAACAGTGTTGGTGCACCTCTAATCTGTGTGTTTCTTTTCCCTGGGCAGTCCTGTCAGCCAGTTAATCCACCAGCTCCTAGGCAGTTTACAAGGAGATACAGGTTTTCTTTTTCTTTCCTTTTTTTTTTTTTTTTAAAGATTTATACTACATCTTGTTTAAAGTCCTATGAATGTATGTGTGCGTTATTAAAATGGCTTTTTCTCAGTTTGAACATGTGTCCAGTAATATTTGTTTGGGAGTGGGGATGGTTAAGTATCTGGAATGTCCTGTTTCTTCACCTGCCCCATTCCCTGCTTTTTAAACTAATTTCTTCCTGTTTTTAAAAAATATATATATATATTATTGATTTCAGAGAGGAAGGGAGAGGGAGAGAGATAGAAACATCAATGATGAGAGAGAATCACTGATTGGCTGCCTCCTGTATGCCCACCCCCCCGGGGGGATTGAGCCCACAACCCAGGCATGTGCCCTTGCCTGGAATCGAGCCCAGGACCCTTCAGTCCTCAGGCCAAGACTCTATCCACTGAACCAAACTGGCTAGGGTTTCTTTCTTCCTCTTGATTTGGATTCTTCAGGCAGTCTTTAGTTTGATGTCTCCTGTTTCTGGAATAAATACTTAAAACCATAGTTGTATATAGTTCACTTTTATATAACCAATTAATAATTTGCTATATACTTTGCAGTTAGGAATTCAGTAATCTCATTCTTACATTACCTCATTCGCTATGTTCAACAACTGTTGAGTCCCTACCTACTACCTGCTAGGCACTCTTAGGATTCAGTGGTGAACAACAAACAGAGCTCTCATGAATCTTACCTTCTGGTATCCAGGTGAAAATACTTTCTGATATGGGGCAAAGAGAACTGGAAAATAATACTCTTGGCCTGACACCCCTGTTCTAGAGTCCAGGAGAAGCTATACAATGTGGAGGCAGGGCCGGATCACTTCCAACCTGCCAGGCAGATACAGCCCTGGATATACCAGCTGTGGGGACATTGGTTGGCACCACCTCACAGGAGTTATGAGGTCATAGAAGGGCTAAAAAGGATTGCCAGAGGCCTTGGGTCTCGGTATCATGTTGCTATTTCTCCCTTCTGACAGGCTAGTTAAAAGGAGACAGCCTGTAAGCATTTTTCTCTGACAGTGGAGGAGTAACAGCATAGGCAAAAGCAGAGACATTGCCTAAGAACTGGGAGACAGGCAGCACAGCCTTGTACAAGGTCCTTGCCCTTGCACTTAGTCATGACCTCAAATCCCAGATTCACCAGGACAATTGTTTGATCCTTGGCAAGTTACTTAACTTCTCCGTGTCTTAGTTTCTTCATCTGCTAAAACGAATAATGAGTTTGTGAGGGCTAACTGAGCGAATGCATGAAAAATATTTAGCCAAATCTTGGCATATAGCAAGAACTCAATAAATGCTAACTGTTGTTAGTTAGCTCTAAGTTGAGGCTCTTCTCAGATGACAAAACTGGTCTTAAGGCACTTGGGCTTCATTGACATCTGAGCAAATACCTCTTGAAACTATGCATGCTCTATTTTTTCTGATCCAGTGAGCCCCAGAAGCTTCTCTGTCCAGGTCTGCCTCTGCTGGTAAAAAATTAAGGTGGTGACTTTTTAAAACTCGGCATGCTAAAGCCGAGAAAGGGGTGGTGGGTGGTGATTTCCCAGCATTTTGTGGACATGTCCTGACACTCCCTTTTCCTTGCTAACCATTCCCCAGGCTGGAGTTAAGAGAGGTCAAACCAGAAGGCCCAGCTTTGGGTCTGACTCCAAGACGACTGGCTGGGAGGAAAACTTAACAGGCAAAACAGGCTTCTGAGGCACTGTGGATCAGTAAGACGACAGCATTGTTGCGCTGGTGACAGTCCCTGCTGAAGCAGCACCTCAGCTGTAATGTGGCCAAAGTAAAGATCACACCACCTAAAGGGAGAGTACTGGGCAAGCCAGAGGTGGCGATGGCAAAACAGGAACAGAAGTGCTGCCACAGTGAACAGCAAGCAGAACAACTTGACTAGGCCAGAGTTGGGTTTTTTTTGCCTCAGGGAACCTCTGCTCAAGTTTCAGGAGTTCATACCTACCCCCTACACCGAGGATCCCTGCTACAGTGAGTAACTGCTCCGCCAAGCCTGGAGCCAAGTGCTGGTGTGTAGGTGGCTGGGGACAACCGCACTACCCGCAGCCACTTTCCTTCAGCAGAACTGGGAGAACAGCCTAGCAAATGCAAATACAAAACCTACATTTGCGTTCTGTTTGGAAAGTATACCAGGTTTTCAAATGGGATCCTCTTGCAGCCACACTGTGAAACAGGCAAGGTGGTGACTTTAAGGATGAGTAACAACCTGCTCACAGAACGACCTACCTCCTGTGTCCCTGCCTGTGACACAAATTCATAGCTAGGTTAGGATTAATTTCTTGGTTTGCTTTCGAGTCTCTTCCGCTGTCCCTCTTCTTTTTATTCATATTTCATCAGCTTGATTTACAAAAAGGAGTATTATCAATCACAGGGGCTTACTATAGAAAGTTTCATTAATCGCCATTACATCTGATCATTTCATTAGATTCAGAGATTGAAGTGGGAGGACAGCAGAGAGAAATACATTGTGGTCTGAATATTATCAGAGGTACTGAAGTATCTGCCCAACTACAGTGTAGCAAGTGCCATGCTGGAACTCAGCATTGTGATTTATAGTTCGGTTCAGATGAAAATGGTGAGGTGCTGAGTCTGCCATCGGAGCACCTTCGAGGAGAAAGGCTTGCCTCACACAACCTAGGTGAGTGGGATGTTGAACCTACCCACCAAATCACCTTGGCCTACTTGCCACCTCCTGAGGTCAAGTCGGCACTGAGTTCTGTGAGACCACGAGGAGATGTGCCCTTAGCCCACTGGGCACCCCTGCAGTTTAATTTCTCTCCTATGGGGCTCACAGTTTTCCTGCCCCTCCTCCATTGTCACCCCAACCCACTTTCCCACAAGGACTGCAGATGTATTTTTCTTAGCCATGTCTTTCCCAGTCTTCCCAACTTGGACCTCCTTACTCAGCTCTTTCAGGATTTTCTCCTGTGGTCTTTCCCAAACTACTTGTTGACTTTTCCCTTCTATTACCTACTAGGAACGCTCCCATCTCATCAAATCAAACTCATCTTCCTCTCTCATGCACTTTCTCTTCTGCCTACTCCCCCAGTACAAACCTACACATTTCTGCCTTTGCTCTGGTGATACCCCATTCAGGCTACCCTGTTCCCTTCTCTGGTTTTCCCATTCCTGATTGCTCCCTCTGTAAGCACAAGAATAATTTCAAGGCAAGTTACTTAACTTCTTAGACCGGCCGTGGGCAAACTAAGGCCCAGCCGGATACGGCCCATTTGAAATGAATAGAACTATTGAAATACAAGACCGTACCCTTTTATGTAATGATGTTTACTTTGAATTTATATTAGTTCACACAAACACTCCATCCATGCTTTTGTTCCGGCCCTCCGGTCCAGTTTAAGAACCCATTGTGGCCCTCGAGTCAAAAAGTTTGCCCACCCCTGTCTTAGACCCTGTTTTCCCATCTTTATTTTTTTTAAATATATTCTATTTATTCTTTACAGAGAGGAAGGGAGAGAGACAGAGAGCCAGAAACACCGATGAGAGAAAAACATACTGGGGATGTGCCCGCACCCCAGGTACATGCCCTTGACCGGAATCGAACCTGGCACCTTTCAGTCCTCAGGCTGATGCTCTATCCACTGAGCCAAACCGGTTTTGGCTGTTTTCCCATCTTTAAGATAAGCTATTAATCCCTCAGAATGGAATGAATGCACAATTTAAAAAAAAAAAAGCTGTGCACTCTTTGTAAATGTGTGTGTACACTTTAAGCATTTCTCTCCAGCTACCTCCCCCTCCACATATACACACATCCTGTTGGCAGAATGCTGGGGGAGGTGGAAGTGTGATGTGAACCTGCTGTCTAGTCACACACAGCAGCCCAAACTATGAGATTGCACATGAGGAAGTGCCAAATTGAGCTCTGAGGAATTCAGAAAAAGAAGGATGATGTGTCTCCCTGTGTCAACCTTAAGTTAAATAATGACAGAGCCTCTTGAATCTGCACCTGTTCTCAACCCAGTGCTCATTCACCTGTTCCCCCACCCTCTGTCCCTGCAGAGCACAGACTCCTAGGCACATGCAAGAGTCAGTGACCTATGTCCCTGGGGCCCTCCTCATGTTGGTCCTGCTCTTGGGCCCATATCAATACTGTCATGGATGAGAGAGGATCAGGCCAGGTCATGGCTAGAGTTCAGGTTTGAGTCAAACCCTAGAGAGGTCTTTAATAGGCGGTGGGAAGAAGGCATGGCCTCAGTTGAGGGCAAACTGAAGGGCCCAAGATGGTGTGGGAGGGCCATTCTAGTTGAATTAAAGGAGGTGGGGAGTTGAGTCTGCGGGGGGCTACTGATTAAGGTGACTGAGCTTAGGAAGGACAGGACATTTCGTTGCCCTGGAGGGCTTCACTGAAAGATCTGGAGGGAGAAAGATGCCCAAGGTGAGCTGAAAGGGAGGCCGGTGTGACCCAGTCCCTGAGGAGCTGCGCCCCAGGTAAGATTTGGTCGAGCGGACGGGTACAAATAATGCTTGTGGCTTATTATCCCCAAAACCAGCATTTTCTGTGTGCACTTCTGGTCCAGCTGTTACTTCATCCCTCCAGACCCGACCTCCACCCACCCAAACGTGCGACTGACAGGCCAGGCGACAGGGATCTGGAGCTAAGAATCAAGACCCTGCTCTGCGTCAGAGCTGACCCATGCTTGGTCTCCACGCACTGTGGCCCTCCGCACCCAGGGCAGGGAGCGCAGGGGCGGCAAGAAGTGAGGACGGGCCTCGGGCTCTCAGGCTCTGGGAGAGTTTTAAGCCCCCAGAGGGCAGGTTGGTCCGTCTCTAGCAGGAGGAAACCCTAGAAGGGAGAGGGGGACTATCAGCCGTTGGCGGCACTGGGGGTGGGAGGCTACCACCAGGGGGCAGTATTGGGGCTGCGGCCTCGGGGGCGGGGGCGCCAGTTGTCGAAGAGCTGTTTGTGAGCCTTGGCTTGAAACTGTGTAGGGTGGGGGGAGTGGAAGAAGACAGCAGCACCTACTCGGCACCCTACCCGGTCGGCCCGCCTTCCAGGTCCCCGCCCCACCCCCGGCTCCGCCTCCACCCCGCCCCGCGTCTGACCGCGGCCCCTTCA